AATAGAACTAAAGAGAAAGTATTATCACATGAAACGAAGCAACTTACATTGAAGGAAATGTTTAATAAAGTAAACAAATAAATATTAAGCTTTTTCTTTTTGTAAATTTTGATACCCTTTAGATCATAATTGTTCTTTATTTCATAAATTACGGTTTCATATTTTTAATTTTATAATTTCTGCATGCCATCTTACCAGATTTAAACTGATGATCTATAATCCGGAAAAATCGATAATCCGGAATCGCCGAAGTCCCGACGAGTCCGGATTAACGACTTTTGACTGTATCAGTTACCCTTAATTAAAATAGTACTAAATGTAATCTTTTGGCCTATGAGTTTCATTAGCAAAATCTATTTTTAGCATATGAAAAGAAATTTTTGTTGAATTTTTCCTCGTCAACATATGTTAGAGTACAGGGTTATCCAAATTAAACTTCCCCAACTCAGAGGCCTGTGCAGAGTGTTGTATGGGTCATAATGTGATGAAATTTTAAAAACAGACACTTCAGATCATGCGCTCGAGATTGATTAAACAAAAAAAAAAATTAGTACAAGAAGTTGCCGATAGGTGGCGTTACAGATCAACAAGACATTCTACAGATGTTCTATATATGTGCCGTGGTTCTCCACAACTCTTTCCATTCGCAAAGCAGTGTGTTCCACAGCAGAACACAGTAAGTCCACATTAATTCCACGAACACGTCGAATAGTTGCATCTTTCAGATGTGCCAAGGTTGCTGGGTGTTCTCTGTAGACCCGATCCTTTAAGAATCCCCATAACCGAAAGTCGCATGGCGTGAGATCAGGCGAGCGGGGAGGCCAAGCTGTAGGGAAACAGCGACTGATCACACATGCATCGGTAAAAGTTGCTCATAACACCTGTTGAATGCCACGAAGAATATGGGGAGCTGCACCATCCTGCATAAATATCGTGTCCTGGAGGCGGCCACGTTGTTGCAGCTCAGGGATCACAAACGTTGTCAACATGTCCTGATATCGTTTTCCTGTGACACAGGTTTTGAACCCTGTTGGAGTCACCTCTTCAAAAAAATAAGGCCCACTGATGAATGTTGCAGTGAAACCGCACCATAAGTAACCTTTGGAGGGTACAAGGGCACTTGATGGATTGCGCGTGGGTTTTCACTTGCCAAAATGCGGCAGTTGTGCGTATTCACTTGACCATTCAGGTGAAAAATGGGCCTCATCCGTCCAAAGGATGTTCCACGGCCAAGCAGCATCGACTTCCATTCTGGCAAGAAACTGCAACGCAAATGTTTCCCGAACCACAGGATCTCCGTCAGACAGCTGATGACGACTATGGATTTTGTAAGCATGTGGTGATGAAAGCAAAATATAATAAATAATGACTTGCCAGGTCGGCGTCAGGGATATAAAATAGGTGAATGTTTCGGTTTGAAATGTATGCCAAGCAGGCACTCAGCTACGAAGCCAAATTATTAAACTCACTAATTAATCTTACATGATTTTTTTTCATAACGAGGTATTTTATTTAGTGCCTAAGTGAAATTAAGAATTGGAATTTTTTAAGTGAAAATCTCCACGTGTTTTACTGTGTAAGGAAAAATCAAATGTGCATGCCTACAGCCTACAAAAATAAATAAATAAAAAATAATAATACAGTCAAAAGTCGTTAATTCGGACATCCATAATCCGGACCTCAAAGTTACAAACTTTCTGCGCATGCGTCGCACAGGCATTTACGCGTGCGTGTAAGACCTTTACGGCTGCGAATATGCGTGTGCGCTTGCGTGTTTAATGTATAACGGACGGTATAAGCTTGATGCATGCGCATAGGCATTTACGCGTACGCGTAAGACCTTTACGGCTGTGAATATGCGTGTGCGCATGCGCTTTTAATGTATAACGGACGGTATAGGCTAAGCTAAAATGATCTAATTCAGTTAATTTTGCAGATTACGCTGTTTCTTAATCTTCGAATTGGATCCGGCTAATTATTTTTTGCAGACTGTTAGAGCAATTTTATAAAAGTAAGCTTGAACTTTCGATTATGTCAAATAGAATTTCCGATATATATTTACTAATATGTAAAAGGATCTACAAAGCGAAAGTATGTTTCGAAGTCCATTAAACAGAAAGTGGAATTGCTGCAGAAAATGGATAAAGGCATATATCCTTTGATTATCTAATCATTCTGAAATATGTTTATCAATTTCACGCTGTTCTGCGGGGGGAGGGAAACAACGCGGTGCGTAATGAATTGGAAGTTGATCTGTCAGCATTATCCTTACCTTCAGGGCAGATGTTTTTATTTTATTTGGCTTATAATTCCTTACTAAATGTAGTATTTCATCTCGATGTACTCCGTCTTTGATATGATTTAAATCAAGTTCGTCGTCATTATAATTCGCTTCCGATAGTGAAGAAAGTAACAGAGGTTATTGAAAATGAAAAAATTTCGATTAACAAATTAGTCGGTATTCTAGACACAGCAATTATAGGACTTGAACAGCGGAACTTTGTAACTAAACAAGAAATTATGTCTGTTTAATAGAATTAAAGAGGACAAGTATTATCACATGAAACGAAGCAACTTAAACAACTTACATTGAAAGAAATGTTTAATAAAGTAAACAAATAAATATTAAGCTTTTTCTTTTTGTAAATTTTGATACCCTTTAGGTCATAATTGTTCTTTATTTCATAAATTACGGTTTCATATTTTTAATTTTATAATTTCTGCATGCCATCTTGCCAGATTTAAACTGATGATCTATAATCCGGAAAAATTGACAAACCGGAATCGGCGAAGTCCCGGCGAGTCCGGATTAACAACTTTTGACTGTAATAATAATATTTGTGGCTTTGAGGTTAGATCATTCTGGATAAAGGACGTTCGGATTTTGGACTTTGTACTGTACCATGTGTATAGAAAATAAGGAACTATATTTTCTAAAAAACATTACTTTTGGTAAATGTATTAACTAAATTTTTCTCATTTATTCATGTTTTTTTTTTCTGTCATACCATATTATTTTTATTATTTTACATTATTGAAGGTGTTAAGGGAACAAGAGCCAATATAATATTTATAAATTTGCAGGCCTGGTTTTGAAGTTTTAAATACAGAACATGCTTCTTCAACTGTAGTAGTGCAAATAAAGAAAGAAAAGCCTGTGCTCAGGTGAAAACAAAGTGATAGCTTCCGGTAATTATTATTCAGCAACTCGGATGTTCCACATTAATTTAGCAATGGTTCTGTTTTATAGTGAGATGGTAATCCTAAGCAAACCATAAATTATTACTGCTTTTCTTTTCTTTTTTTTTTTTTTTTGAACCTATTAGCTAAGCAAGGCAGTGACAGGTGTACAGTTCCATTTCACTCAATACTCAGTGTGACTAAGTAGAAGCTGCTCAGCTTGCATTTTGTCTCCATTTATGATGTTTGTCATAAAAAACACCATCTAGTAACACATCTGTGATCAAAAGCAAGTTTCTTAAACTCATCTTTGAATGTTTGATGGCGAGAGTGTTTTCTTAAAGTGTATGGACCCAAAAAGTTGAGTTGGAATATTTAATTTCCTTGTAAATTTTCATAATGTTGCTAGTTATGTGAGTGTTGTATAAGATTCTTAAGGAAGAAATTTAGCTTGCAGACATACATATTTATTGAAGTGTATGACCATGGGTGTTTGAGACACTATAGGGTGGAGGGAAAAGTAGGTGCTATCTATAACTGATTAGAGTCGCTAATATCTAACACCTTTCATGGCACAAATATTGCCACTAATAATTGAATAGTGAGTGAAACTGAATTATTGAAGACTGTCTATGCACAGCATGCCATCTTGCTTCTTCATGAGCAACTTTTAACTATGACACTTTGTCTGTTCTCGGCAGCAACTGATTGTGTTCCCAATGGGTGTGCTCGTAGCAAAAAGGTGATGGTATCACCATCTTTCTGTGGGGATGGGGGCATCCCACATTTATCTTCTATTTTTCTGCATAAGGCAGCTTCTGTACATTTTGTTTTCAGTATCATCTAGCATTGTAATGTCACTTTTTGGGCCTATTGCATTTGTTGAGTTATCAAAATTCGTAGCTATGGGAAAACACTAGAACTAGGTTTTGATTTTTGCATACATAAAAACATATTGTGAATTCATTTTTAATTCTTTTTTCTCAGGTTCATTGAACTTTCGGACACGCTAGTAATAACATGCTCTTTTGTGGTGGTTATTTAGAGCTTAAATTTGGACTAAACAGAGAAGAAATTATTTTACTTAGGTATTATCCCATCAAGTTGCCAAGTAGTGAAATTTAGCATAAAATATGGATAACCATTACCTTTAGAAATCTGCGGTAATAATTGCAGATTAATGACCACTGCTGAAATTTCTGATAAGTTTCAGAAAACAAGTGAAAAGTATAGTGAGTAAAGGAATTAAAAATTTGAGAAATGAATTGCATTTGAAATGTAAAGTGGAATTCTTGAAATATCTAGCCTTTTAGGTTAATGTTTAATTTTCACTTTTGTCTTCCTAGCTGAAATTCATGAAGTATTATTGTGTAGAAAATGGGAATTGTAATATTTTAGATTTAAAATAAGATATAAAATGTGGATTTTGGCTGTTATTTGTACCCAGATCCTCTTTGTGTACAGGTAAATGCTATCTGTAAATGGTTGTCAACTATGGATATTTCTGCTTTACAGTAATACTGAAAGGATTTGGCTTGACTGACTATTTTTATTTAATCATGATACTCAAGTGATAATTCCTGTCCTGGGTAATTTGATTAGGATTTAACTAGATACATAAGTTTTTTTAGGTGGCTTGCATTCCAATCAAATGACAGTGGAGGATGTCTTTTAGCCTCCTTTAATATATTCTTTCCCAAAGGGGTTTGTTACTTTTTCATTTGAATTTTCTTTTTAAAATTCTTTATATAAAGATGTTATTGATCTGCAGTATGCTTTCATACTTTCACATTTAAAAATGTTAATTTTTTTACTTTCAGCACAATGAAAGTTCCCAAAGAACTCACTTTTCGTTGCAAATCATCATTTGATAGATCTGCTGACAGCTCAAAAATAGGTTATCCTGCTGCTAATGTTCATGCATCTAGTGCAAGATTACGTCTTGATGCCAAAGTACTTGTTTTTGTTGAAACTCAATATTCACATTTGGGACGACAAATCTCGGAGATACTTGAAGCATCTCGTATCAAGTAAATAATTTTTCTTTTTCCTCTATACTTATCTGTTAATTTACTTAGTTATTCAAATTCACTTATAATAAATTGTTTTCATAGTCTGATTTTATAGTAATTAATGTCTTATATGAAATTTGTAAAATGAAATTGCACTTAAATCTGTAAACTAAAATCTGTAAACAGACTGCATGTCAGCAATACTAGTGGTAAGAACTTTTAAAGTGTAATTTGTGAAAATTCTGCTTTTAATTTAAAAAAAAAAAAAAAAAAAAAAAAAAAAAAAAAAAAAAAATCAAACAAATATGATTTAAAAATTTTCCCCATCAAATAATGAAAGAAATATGCTATTTGTAACCAACATACTGTCAAGCCTGTTAATGACTGAGTAGCTACAATAAGGCGTAGCCAGATCACTGGCAGATTTATGAGGTCCCAGTCGCAAATGGCTCCAGGTTCTAAGAAACATCCAGGTGACTGATTTTTTTTGTTTTTTTTTTGTTTGTTTTTGTTGTTAAAGGAAAGAAATAGTAAATTTATTCTATGTCTTAAAAGAAAGGACTTCCAGATATATAAGTTTGAGGGCCCCTTTTAAAAAAATCTGCCATTGTGCCGGGTACTTGGCACAGTGCATATTATTGGTATTCAGCACTTGACTTTGGGCTCAATGCATGTGAATGAAATGTACCTTGCTATTGTAAATTTTAATACTTACTGGCTAAAATGGCCACTATGCTTAGTTATCAAAATTGACAAACTAGCTTGCGTAGTCTGTAACATGCATATTTCATATCTCATTAAAATTTTATCCGTTTTGACAAAGAAGGAGCTAAATTATTATTATTATTGTATATGTTTTTGTTTTTCAGCTTTCTCTAAAAAACTCCCATGGATGCATTTTTTCTTAGCTGTAGCTCTTATTTTGTTGCAATTACTTCTTCTGAAGTACTTTTTACTTCCTTGTACGAAGTAAAAAGGAAGTATTGTAATCGCAAAACGTTTCAGGCAGCATATTTCAACGAAAATATCCATTTTGACCGCTATGGAATGCAATTTAACGATGTTTTTGCGTCATATCTGTACGTAAGAACAGAATAAAATACTCTTTTCCTTCAAAAAAATTATAAAACTGCTTTAAAATTAATTCTGAAGAGAATTTTTCGTGGCGTCTGTACGAATATATGTACGTACATTCCTCGCATAACTCAAAAACGAGTAGCCTCAGAACGTTGAAATTTTGTATATAGGACTGCTTCTCTAACATGTAGATGTGCACCTCGTATTTTGGTTAGCAATCGGCAGCACCAAAGCTATATAAATATATATATATATATATATATATATATCCACTCTTGTTACCCGGCTCAGTGATCTCAGTTTCTTTACTTCTTATATGTTTGTAAATTGTACATTTTTTGCCTTTAAAAATGATTGAATTATGTTGTTTTTTTTTATCTTCCGGTTAAGGATTTTATGCCTTTAGTAAATCTGTGTGCAATACTTTTAGAATTATCAGCAATTTAAAAGTTGTTTAATTGCCGCTAAACCTAATTACTTTTGCCAATGGCGGCCATTGATTTGTTTACAATTTGAAACAGGAGACTAGTGGATTTGTTGCCAATCTAGAGAAACTTAGCTTCGCAACAACAAAGATAACGCATTCATTTATTATTGCCAATTAAATCGGGCTTAATTCTTTCTGGAATTTATTTGAGGAAATAAGCGTTTGATCTTTACTTCGTAATTTTTAATATAGATATTTTGAGTTTTTATGTATTTTTGCTTTCTCGCAAAGTGAGAACTGAATTAATTAAATGAAAAATACTCAATCGTCTGTGAAAAACTATTTCTGTTTTGTTTTGTTTGCTTAATTTCTTTTATACATAGTTCTAGCTTTATTATAGTATTTGAATAGAACATGTGGCAACGATTAGATAGTTCTTCAAATGATATACATTTTGTGCATTCTGAGTTATATTATGAATGAAATATAATACTGTTAAGTAAACCTAGCGCCAGAGTGTCGCTATGGTAAACAAAGTGAATTTTAAAGAACGCATTTATTCTATTGTGGTTTATGCGCTGTCAGCGAAGTAGTTTTAATTCAATCTAATAAGTTTAAATAAAATGCAAGAAAAAATGCGTATTATTTAATATTCCGTACAAGGAAGTCATGTGGTGTACACATCAGATTTTTTACTTTTTAATTTCAATATAAAATGGTTGAAAATGGGAGTGACTAGAAGTTAGGTTATTGGAATATGACAGACAACATGAAGGCTATCACCTAAATACATTTTTACTTTTTAATTTCAATATAAAATGGTTGAAAATAGAAGTGATTAGAAGTTAGGTTATTGTAATAAAGCAAAGCGCATGAAGGCTGTTGCTCAAGGAATGCTTTTGTGGAGGACTTTCTAAGAGAAACTGATTCATGTACATGACACATGTGGGAAAACCATGTAAAGCAATAATGCAGCTAACTTATTCAATGGGATCAAACATAGGTCAAACTTCCAGTATTCAGTAGTCATAATCACTCAACCATTGAGACTTTGAGGTAACATTTAGAAGTAATCTGACTTCAATTTTCTTGAATTATATTCAGATGATATTAGATTTCCTCTAAATATTCAGATGATATTAGATTTCCTCTAAATATGTGATTATTGTATCAAATTTTTCATTTTTAGAATTCAGTATATAATGTAATATGCAATTTATATTTTATTCATTTTGTCAGGAATCTAAAACATATTTATTACACATTTATTTTACATGAAAAAGGTTGAATGTAGTTTCTACAAGTTGTGTATACACTCTTTTGCAAAAAATCTAAGCAACAAGAAGGATGTTTGTGATCGTGACAAAATTTGGTATTTGGTATGCAAAAACATCTTGATCGAACATGCAAATGATCAAAGTTTCAAGGCAAATGAACAGAAATTTATGACCATAGTGCACAATTCACAAAGCATAAAACCAGAAACAAAGGCAGATCTTTTTTTGTTGCCGCCATTGTAATTCTGTAAAGAAGCAATTAAAGATGCCATTATGATGATATTGAAGACCTTACAGACAACTAAACGACTTCGAACAGGGTCGCATTGCAGGGTTGCGTGAAGCTGGGTGGTCATGCCGAACAATAGGCCACCACGTGCAGCGTACAGACACTGCTGTTCAAAGATGTTGGCAGCAATGGTTGCTACAAGGAAATTGTCGACGAATTGAAGGCTCTGGAAGAACCAAGGAGCACAAATGTGAGGCTGTGGTGATGGCGATAAGGAGCGCGCCTTGTGCCCTCCGATAAGTGTGGCAACCCTAGAGGAGAAGTTTCTTACGAGTAGCGAGCAGAGCGAAACAGGCAGGCTGTCGGGCAGTGTGCGCGAAGTTCCTAAATAAAGCTTAATTTTTATTGTGCACTATGTCTTGTTAATATTTATATTAATGCAGTAAGAACATAATCTGTGATATGGAATTCGAGGATTGGTGGTAAAAACATAACTGGAAATTTCCATAATGGTAACCTGGACTGTGTTAAATCGTATGAACAGTTTCTCAAGCACTTTCGGTTTTGACTACAAGCCATCACTCAAGATCTCCAAACCAGAAGTAATGGATTACATCGGTTTCGTCCTCCGGATCACAGATGAGTAGTAATTATAGATCATTTTATAATTCTGTTTTCTACTTATCATTTAATTTCATTTTCTATAGTAAATTTTTGCTTTTATTTGGCTTAAAAAACCTTGCACAATGTCTGATGTTCATGCCGTCCAAATTCCGTTTATAACCGATCAGACCCATCTTTATGGTTTATTATGTGTGAAAGTACCTTGCTCTTGCCACCCCCAAACCTATCACAGAATCCATTACTAAATATAATTATGTAGTTTCTCATCTTCCTCCAGATATCGCATCACTAGTACGGATTTACTTATGAACAGACCCTATTGATCCATATGCAAAGCTTAAACTGAGTTAATAAATCGTTCAGGAGAATCTTCAGCAAGAAATTCGCCAATTATTATCTGGAGAAGAATTAGGTTCTCGAAAACCTTCCGATTGCTAGAATATGAAACGTCGAGCAAATCTTAAATGTTCCTGATAACTTAATGTTAGAATTTATCTTCAACGTTTGCCTTCGACTGTTCAGTCTATTTCGCGGTTCCAATTACGAGATAAAGCTGCAGAAACATTGCCGACAGAATTAGAAGTAATCCAACCCCAGGGACTGTGCGTTTCTAGACAGTCTATCAGTCTCTGAGGATAATTATTAAAAAATAGAAAAATTAAACAAACGTATGATCGCATTTCTCTTTCTCGTGGTCGCTCGCCAATCGCGGAGATCGCAATAAGGAAAGAAGAATTCCAAAATAGAGATTATTCTGTTTGCTGTATCATAGACGTTTTGGGAAAAAGTATAGATGACAAATGTACAAACTGTTCAGGCAGGGAGACGAAACCAGCAAAGAATAAGGCTACTTATCTTTGCCTCAAGTTTCACGTGCCTTTCGTTCGGACGTATACAAACCTTTATTCTTGCGATTTACCGGCTCTGACGTGTCCCTTGACTTCCCGCAAATAATTCTCAAAAATGGATTCGTCCCAACAAACCGTTTCCTTCTATTCTTCACTATTCATGTTATGGTCAAAAACACTTCTTTGGATTTCAATTAGACGACAGTTTACATGGACTTTCTTATGCAAATTTAGTACCCCATTCTGGGCGATTTTCTCTCATTTCTTTGAATTGTGCCTGATCCTCAGAAACAAATTTCTCAAAGATTAAAAACGCATTTAAAACGTCGGTGCGTGAAAAATGAAGCATTTAATCAGTAAATCTGTATTTAGTGATACACCATCACAAAATTTTAAAAATTTCTTCAGTTACAGATTCCAGATCCTACCAACCTTAACCAACACGTTCATATATCATAACAAAGGTCCACTGTGTTGCAAAACCTCGTCGGTTAGCTCCAGATCGCTAAAAATAGAAAACAAGAATTTCAAACTAT